ACCAACTGCACGTATTTTATTTAGCTCACTGAAATGAGATCAACTGAAAACGGGAAACTTCTCGTGACCGCAGTGTCAAGTTACATAAGAGATACTTCTGCAGCGAGAAGAATCGCTCCAGAAGGGAAGCAGCAGCATGCCGTGCTCGTTAGGGTGACTTTATCCACGTTTCCTTACTCCCGGTGTGACTTAGAGCCGCTCCGGGGAGCGATGGCCAAGGGGAGACCGCTCCCGCCCAGCCGGGGCCGCGGGGCTTGTGAGGGGGCAGCAACGGTCGGGCGGGGAGGGGGGACTAACGGTCTGCGGGAAGCAGGCACGCTGCCCCCTAGCGGCAGTGCGCACCGTAGCGGCTCAATCCGGGATGAAAGGAGACAGAAACGGCTAAAAGGAGGCACCATGTCTTCGGGTACTGGCGGCGCTGAGCCTGCTCCGCACAGCCCCTTATCCCGCAGGTAGCCGGGTCCCTCAGGAGCGCTCTGCGCTGTCGGCTCCTTCCTTCACCACTCGTTGCTCTTCCCCAGCACCGCCCATGCTTTCAGGCTTGCTGGCGTTGCTCTGCGAGGTTGGATGCTGTTTAGCACATCTGCAAATGCCCTGAAATCCACAATAGCTTATTACCGATGTCCAGGTCTCAGAAGGATGGTCTCAAAAAGGAAATCCTTCCAGTCCTCCTACCGCAGAGCCAGTATCATTCTTTCAGATACTTAACCTGAGGATGAGTCTAGGCCACGCATTTCAGATGTATTAGAAAAAAAAACAACCAACCAACCAACCAACTACCAATAAAAAACCCCAAACAAGCAAACAAAACCCCCCAAACCAAAAGGGAGGCAGTATCATACTCTTCAAAGTATTCATTCTTACAATGTGCTGGCAGGAAACCAAGGACCAGCAAACAAACCAACCAACCAACCAAGGACCTGTGCAGGGTCTTCTGCCCCACAGCCATGGGTTCAGGCTTTGTGTTATGTACAGAAGGGCATCAGGTATGGCAGCAGCTGAACTAAGCTACAGCACAAAGCCTGTTGTCCACTTATTGCCTGTAGCTTCCCAGCCATTACACATGGTGCCCATGCCAGAGGAGAGACAGTGCCTGGCGGTGGGCCTTCCTCTGCTTGGCCTCCACAGACTGCTCCAGGCAGCCAGTCCCAACCGCACCCCCAGGCCAGGCTCAGCTTCCTTCTTGCTGCTGCCTCAGCCTACGTGGCAAATGTCAATCATCAAAGGCTGCCATAAACCAACAGAACAGTCACTAGATTTGACATGAGACTTAAAGACCACTTATTGGAAGTCGCAGGTTGGGCTTCAGCATTCTTGATTTTGCATGTGGAGTCTGCTGAACGACCTCACCTTTCTCCCTGCATTAGTTTCATATTTCTCTTCTGTGCTTACCACCAAAAAGGGAAAAATAAGAGGGTGAGGAAGGAAGTGCAAAATGGTGGTGCCTCTGTGTGAAGTCAGACACGGGGACTATGATTTTTCAGAGGAGGTTAACAAGGAACCAAGTACCCATATCTGACTGAAATTCAGTAGACCCCTCTGGCTTCTTTGAAAATCAAAAATGAGATTAAATAGGTTCCCTGTCACATGAAACTGTCCAGCAGAAGTTTGACTAATGTTTTCCAGAGAAATAAATCTCAGTGTATTACCAACAAAGATGGTGAAGTTACCACCTTAGCCTAGCAGTATGGGCTGGAATTTGAACCCTAACCATTACACCAGCCTTGGTTAGGCAGCAGCTCATCTGGGCAGTGTTTTGGCAACATTCCTTATGTTATATTAGGCTTGGTGGGGGGATTTTTGAAAAGATAGTAAAATCAACTGTCTGAAAAAGTGATATGAAACATGTCTTGTTTTCCCATAAACCCTGTTTGCTGCTCTCCCTAGTTCTTGTCACAACAACAAAGTACGAATTATACCAGATGAAGCTTCTGAGTAAGATCCATTCTGTTGACATAAGCCATACAAGGAAAAAGAGCTGAAAAGGCTAAAATACATTGTTACTGATACACTGTATATGAAGAGCAGAACTGAGCTCAAAAACAATAGGTTCCTAACAAGATAAACCACAGCTAGTCAAAATTCCCAAAACAGAAAAGGATTGTGACAAATTATTTTTCCCCATGTAACTCGTGCTTCTTATTCATATTTCCAAACAGTTACTTATTTCCTAGCATTCTGTGCTGCCATGTGTATTTTCAATAACACAGTTCAGAGAAATAGATTTTTTTCCTACCACCATTGGTTATTTCTGACAACCAGAACATCACAAAATTGCAAACGGAGGTTTTGATCAGGCTTTTTTTCACTTCCAAATCTGCAGCTTCCTCTAATGAATGCATACTTAAAGAATGCCTCAAAGGAAATGCTTCAAACTCACATGATCTAAAAGACTTTACTTACTATATGCTGCATACTATGGTTTGTGGGTTTTGGTTTTTGTTTTGTTTTGTTGTTTCTAATTTGGAAGTCTAATTATTTGGGCATGTGCTGTAGTAAGATTCACAAAGGTCGCAGCATTAGAAGCAAATCAAAATTTACCTGGCAAATTCTGTGTATCTGTTGCTCTTAACACCTGAACTCCCTTCTCTGAACTGCTTATGCTAGCACCAGTGAGTAAGCAAACAGCAATTCTTTCAACAGCCAAAGCTTTTCCTAACTCCTGCAACATTAGAACTCCATAATGTAAGATAGAAATAAAAGTGTAACAAAGTTAGAAAAAGGGTGAATCAGTTGGAGAAATGGAAAAATTATGGAACAGATAACACATACATTAACAGATAAACATACTCAGTTTGTACAGCAGCTATCCAACCAGTTATGCAACTACTCTAAGGTTGCTCAGTATTTACATTTCATAGATGAGGACATGAAGATTTACAGATATAAGTTGTGCATGACATCAGAACAAAAGTTGATGAAATAATGAAAATGTAACTAAAGCTTAACTAGTTCTTAAGTAGCCATACACATAGCTAGACAAATTCCCAGCAAGTAATAGTTTTTCTTCTTTCCGCATTTGTGAACAAATAAAAGCTGTAAGTAGAAAATACAATCAGGTTTTGTCACACTCCCTGGAGGACTTTGGGTCCATAAATGCAATAAATGCAAAAGTAACTAGCAGATAAAATATGGCAATTTAGCTTGTATTTTACAACTTCATACTTCCTGCATGAACAATATAGGCATGCTTTACAACCCCATTCAGAGACAATAACTCGAAGTGGAAATTCCTTATCCTACACACCAGAAGGATTCATCTGAGGTTCATAATGCGTTATGCTGAAGTGAGATTGTGCAAACACTCTTTAAGCTTTGGTGATAATGTGGCTGAGTCACGCTAGGAACTGGGAGTGTACCAGCAGCACACTGGTGAACTACAAGAAGACTAGGCATATTTGCGATACAACCCTGTTGCACTTAAATATAGAAGAAATCCAGCTGCATATGCTCTTGTTCCTTCAAATAAAGGGAAGTGTCAAAAGCTCAGATATCAGAAAATCTACTCCTCATGGAAAATTATTTGATTGAGGACCCAGCAGAAACCTATGTAACAACAGAATCTTTCAACCAGGGTTTTATGCTTCTTTAAAAGTGCTGAAGAAATTACTTCAGACTCCTGAAAATGCTATGTACAGTGATCAAGTTACATAACTATAGCAACTAATTAATACAGAAATCCAGAGATGATCTGGATGATGATAATTTACCAAGAGAGACTATTCTAATAATGAATTTGTAGTATATTTGATAGGACTATGCACATGAGCAAATTACATCTTGAATAACAATCATATGTGATCTCCGACATTTTAAAATAGATTCTTAGATCAGTGTGTAAAAGGTGTAAAATTTGCCCAGAACTTAATGCAAAATCATCAGATTCCAGAAGGAGCCAAAAGCTCCAGTATTAAGCAAAAGTGTTACAATACAAGAGAGAATAACTTAGTTTCTAAGAAAAATAGATGAGGGGAATGTTTTGGTTTTTTTACCTAAGTATCTAATGCTGAATAAATAAATTGGTGACAATTTCATATTTGTTCTGCCCTGCACAATACATAAAGGTAAGAAGATCATTATAAAAAGATATACACAAATACAAAACACATACATTACAAACTGCTTACACTCCTTGTCTCCCAGTGGCCTTTGTGAATTAGTTGTATTGTTCAAAAATATCTGTGAAATTGCTGTGTCTTGAAACATCTTTGCATATATAATCTCTTAACTCTCAACACACCTGATTTCTTTTTACAGTCCAAAGGTAATTATTGGTATAAATCACTGTTGTGGAATAATTTCAACCTATAAACCAGCCACCATTTCTGTAATTTAAGTGACTTCTAATCTACAAGACTGCTAGAGTGAAAACTCATCAGCATGCATATTTATTTCATTTCATAATGTTGTAATTCATTTATAAGTCTCTAATCCCAAAATGGCCTGTATCAAATTGGTGATATCCGCAATGTGCTGCTCTTTGAATTGCAGTCAGAAATTAGACCCCCCCCGAAACAAAGCCAAAAATATAAAGAAAATCCCACACACCCCCAAAATCTGGTCCTGTTGCAAACATGAAATGAAATCTGACTTTAAGAAAGCGTACACAGTATTATTCCTTTTAAAAATGTACAGTGATTACAAATCTAGCCATAATAAGATTCTTTTTTGCTGGGATATACTTTTCAGCTATGTTGTAACTTAGAAATTTTACCTGGGGCTACTGAAGTATTTACATGTCCATGCTCGTAAACATACCATTTTATCCTGAATTTGCAAAGCTGACTGTTACAACAACAAACAGACCCTCTTTCCACTCTCCAATATCTTACTTGCAAATAGGGGGAAAGGGAAATCTGTCAATGAAATAAATATGGAGATACATTATGCTATTTTTACATTTGGAATACCACTATCCTTTAAATTTCTAGGGTGAAACTGTAGTAGTATTATTGTCAAAATACTTACAGTGAAAGAGAATAAATAGTATCACAGTTGGCAAAAGTTAATCATTATAGTAATTTATTGAAAAAAGTACATACCTCATTATAGTTTAACAATCCAATTAAAGTAACACCCAAAGTCACTTGGCATTGTGCTTCTTGGACAGTAAAATAATTTCAAGTCAGGTTAAGGGCTTGATTTTTTGAAATATCTTTTAACAGAAACTTAGTTTTAGTCTGTCAAAACCTATGAGTTTACGGCTAAAGATAAGAGGGGAAGAACTCAGTCATGAAAATGCTGATGAAGCAACACTGATGCAGAAATAACACCCAGCTAATCTTTTAACACAGCTTCTCTTTTGAAACATTTTATCTCCAAAAGGGTTATAGCAGGAAGAAAAACAGAAAATGACCACCATGGCACATCTCAAGATATCTGTCCTATGGTCTATGCTTGACAACAGGTCACCTAACACACTTCTGACAGTGTTGTCACCCCTTGATGGACTGTAGTGAGTAGAAATGGGAATTTGTTCCATGGAGTACCAGAGCAAATCCGAGTGCAAACAGCAGCCCTGTGACTTCATCCTTCTCCTTCCGTTTTTTTTTTTTCTCTTCCCTCTTCAAGACAGTTTCCTCAGGCCCAGGGGCTTTTACAGTATGTGATGCAGCACTTCTTATGGGACAAAGGAGCTTCTAATCAGCAGGAAGAGAAAAGCTGATGAAAGGCTTTTAATTTTCATTTTAAGTCCTTAATCTTCATTACTTGAAGGACAATGAGCTGCATAATCAAAACCAGGGAACTCAATGGGCAGCTCTCTCCATCTCTTAAAAATGTCTTTTCTTGTCTTAGCTTCAAACACAATCACAAAATTTATAATCTTTAGACAAGGCAGGTCAAGACCTTGGTGAACCATCATATTTCCCCAAGCCTACAAGTATATGAAAATTACATTTCAGATAAAATAGACAAGATCACTAGGCAAAAATAAATACAGACACCACCACCACCATAAAAGTATGAAAATAAGTTTTCCCTCACTTGTCCACTATCTTTACATATAACTTCTCCATTTGTCTGGTAATCAGCATTCTTATCTTGCAGCATCTTATTTTCTCTTGTATGGTAAAGACTTCTGAAAAACAGCCAGACAGCGTGCATCAGATACGCTGCTACATATAGACTTAAACAGTGACTACAATTGCTGAAGTCAGATCTGAAATGTAAAAGGTCATAAACTGTGACTGCTGTGAACATTCAGGAGATGGAGAAAATGCAAGGTCCTTTCATGCTTCTATGTAATAGTGAAATACAGGTGTCTTCCATGCCTCCTTTCGTAGCATTTCAGGAGCTGCACCCATCCTTAAACACCTTCAAATAGGAGCAGCAGGCTGTTATAATCAGGGATAGATCTAGCACATTCTTACATCAATTAGTTACTACTAGCCTGTGCAGAGAGACTTTAAGAATTATTACCCTGTATTTTGAAGGGCAACATTAAGCTGGCAAGACAATTTCATGGTAAAACCTGGTAAAAGTTTTATGTTTAGGGCTGCAGCTCAACTTTATTTTTTTTCAACATATGGGTACTAATTTCTCCTAACTCTTCACAAAGACAGAAAACCTACAATTTTTTGTAAAAGATCAGTTATATCTCAAAGAAACTAAAACTTTAGAGGCAGTAACTTGGTAGGATAATGTCTGTTAGACAATTAAGCATGAGTGATCTGTAATGTACACTACCCATTACAAATTTCCCACAGTATGCAAATGCAATTGAAGTTGAATTAAAACATTTTCTTGGACTCTAAATGTCCATTATAAGTGGTAAGAGAAAAGTCACCTCCTGCCATCATGGCACGGAAAAGTTAAACAGTTTAGCACAAATGTCTACCAAACTAGACTGCATTTCTTGCAGTGGAGCTAAGAAGCAAGAACACTGGAAGAACTAAAAGAGGTATGTCACCAGTATGCACATCCTCTAAAAATACAACTGTCAATGCACAGCTTGTGGCCAATATGTTGCTTGAGTCACGGGTCATAGTCAAACACTTATCGTGGGCCTGTTACTGGTGTAAGTGTGTGGTTAACTGGTGCTCATCTTTGGTTAGTTACACTGTGGAATACATACTATATTATATAATAAGTGACCTACTTAATATTACCACAGACCCTGTATCGTTTTCCAAAGTTTCAAACTCTGCTCACCTGTTGTGGTTTAACCCCAGCTGGCAACTAAGTACCATGCAGCCCTTGCTCACTGCCCCACCAGTGCCGGGTGGGCTGGGGAGGGGAGTTGGAAAAAGGCAAACCTTACGGGTTGAGACAAGAACAGTTTAATAATTGAAATAAAGTCAATTATTATAAGAAAAAAGAGCAGGAATAAACCCTAAGAAACGCAAGCGGTGCACAATACAATTGTTCACTACCCACTGACCAATACCCAGCCCATCCCCAAGCAGTGATCTGCCCCTTTTGGCCAACTCCCCCAGTTTATATGCTGAGCAAGATGCTCTAAGGCATGTAATACCCCTTTGGTTAGTTCAGGTAAGGCTGTGCTCCCTCCTGGCTTCTTGTGCCCCTCCTCACTGGCAGAGCACGGGAAACTGAGAAGTCCTTGACTTCAGAGTAAGCACTACTTGGTAACAACTAAAACAGCAGTGCATTGTCAGCATTATTCTCATACTAAATCCAAAACACCGCATTGCACCACCTAAGAAAAAAATTAACGCTATCCCAACCAAAACCAGGAGAACCTTGAAATCAGGGGTAAGAATGAACATTTCCTTCAAACTCATTAACTTTAAACTCCACAGAGCATAGGACTTGACAATATGGGAATAATCTTTTTTTTCCCTCACAGGGCCTAGAGGGTTACAGGCCCTGTGCAACCCTGCTGAAAAGAAAAATCTGTTTCTGTTGGAAAGAGATGAAGTAGTTCATAAACACTCACTGGAAATCTCTTTTCACACTGACATGATGCATGTTTTCAATAACTCGTATGTCTTCCCCAGAACATACCAGCTTGTGGCAATTTTTGCATACGAATGTTATTTGTGAAGGATTTTTCTTGTATGTCTTGTGCTGATGTCTTGTTGCCTTCATTTCTTTTTCCACTATACTTTGACACTGGAAATTCTGAATCTAGAAACATCAGTGAGAGCACTGTAATATTCTGGTGGAACAATAGTAACAGTTTTCTTTTTCAGTTATTTTACCCAGTTCATTAACAATATGGCTTCTAGTCTGTTTTTCTGACTTACGTGTTTCCACCTTTACCAATGGAAAAGCATACTTTTCTAAAGGCCCAGAAAACATAAATTATAAAACAAGTACTGGCAAAGAATTCAAGGCAATATGTAGTAACTAATATTAAGTTTTCCTCCCCTAAATAGATTTCAAATAGAAAGTATTTCTTTCTCTTCTTTAAAGGGAAAGTGCAGACTTGCAGTAAATACCTTCTTTAAATACTCTTCCTGGGGCATCTTCTGGACATTCTGAATGGCTTTATACATCATTTTCTCACGGAAAATATTAACATCTTCACGTTCAATAGCTCCTGAGCCACTGGAAGCCACAAGTGCATAGGTGCTCTCATCAGCTCGAGCTCGACCACGAGCCTGCAATTTTGCAAGGAACGCAACATAAAAAGCACACCACCACCACACAACATGTCTTCCTAGTTTTGTAAGGCAAGACATGTACTGTTCCTTAGGCAGTGTCCCCACAGAGGACTTTCTTCCACTTCACTCAGACAGGTAAAGAATCAGTGAATAACACATACTGTTTCTGCATTATCAAAGATATCTGTGAAAATAATACTCAGGAGGTTTGTAATTAGCATAGCATTTTGCAAAGCAGAAACTATTTTTCACCAAAAAGTAAACATACACTTAAATATTAAATATATAAATATTTGTGTTCACAAATTTAGTGAGAACATGGAAAAAATGGTATTCTGACATGCAACTACTTCCTTTTGCTGTTGGTGGTATAAATTTCTTTTACATCAACCAGTCTCCTGATCATATTTTCATAGCTTTTCTATTAAGAGACAGCTTTAAATGGATGTTATACCTTTACACGTGGAGGCAAATATTATACTCCATACAAACTGAGGATAACAACTGGAAATGAACCTTGTTGCAAGAACATTTTCTCTTTTAGCATGGAAGTGTTTCCAAGTTATCTCCAAACCCCAGGTATATGATTTACCACTTGCATATTCCAAGCAGAAAAGCACTTCAAAAAAAGAAGTTATCTGTAAACTCATACCTGCACCATAGCAATTTCATTGGTGACGAGGCCGTAGCGAATAACAATGTTACATTCTTTGATGTCTAGGCCTTCCTCAGCTACAGTAGTAGCAATAAGTAAGTTCAAATTTCCACCTCGGAATTTATCAATAACTTCCCTTTGCTCATTCTGTACATGAAAAAACAAACTAAAACTCAGTACATTAACTTTCAGTTTTAGTTTCTGTCATCAGTTTATTCTAATTAAGAGGTTTAAGAAATATAGTTCAATCATTTCAGAGTGGAGTGCCAGACATCAAGTGGCTTCAACAGCTGCATTTAAGCATCTTTCAAGATCACAAACAGAGTTCTTATGAATATACTAGGTGTTCAGTTCCTTTTTTGAGGGATAAGGGAGCAGACGTCAAACTTTCTAAGGTAACCAAACTTGGAGATTTGTATCCTATTTCATAGGCACTAGGAGTTTTGATAATGTAGTTGCTCTATCATTTTTGAATTCTTTAGGTACTTATTCACAGGTTCTGGATTTCTAACACTTCGGTAATTTCAGTTTGACGTACAGACTTCAGCATTTTCAAGTCAAGTTCCAAAGTACTTAAAATTCCTGGTAATAAATGGGGACTGAAATTTGGGTGATCTGGGCAGCACAAAAAGCACAGAAAATTATACACTTCAAAAATAAAGCATCCAAAACACAGACTTCTGAATTAGTTGGGTATTTCAAAGAAGCTTGAGCATAGGACAGGAACTTCCTGTCTGCTATATTCAGTTTCAAAATGTACAGGCTATGGCTTTGTTTGTGCAATGTGGTGCACAAATTAAATATAAAATTTTAGTAGAAAACAAGAAACTTTGAGAGAACAATTCTTAACTCTTTTTTTAAACTGAGAACAGCTGAAGGAAATGGACCAGCAGTAAACCACACCATTTTTTTTTAAATGCTGAGGTTGCAATTTTATGTGCAGTAAAAAGCAGAACAGTAAAGAGGTTTTAGGATACTGACATATTTTGTTTTGGAAATGTTTAATCTGGAGGTATAAATCATCACAGAGATATTGTATATGAAGTCAACACAATGGTACTAGATGGACTGTTGAGTGATCAATTGGGATATTTCAATGGAAAATTTTAGCAAATACTCTTTCAATGGTTATGTGTCAGTGTAAAGCATGCATATAAACCTGTGTAAGTTGATTAAGGGATGGTATCAGAAAAAGACAGGCATAATCAACATTGTAATTTTTTTCAATGTAGGGACTAAATATAATTTGAATTACTGTTGTCCCGGTAAATATAATTTCATTTAGCTATTGCATTTTTGCTACTGTAATTTTGTTCACTTCTTCCCATGCCTCATGACAACTCCTGTCCTTTTTGACTACATACTCCTCTAGGAAATGGCTGGCTGTTACTCCTATTGCCACAGAATCCAAAACCAAAAAACTTGTTTGTTGTAGAAAGAGAATTGTTCTGACAGTTATTGATCTATCCTGAAGATTATGAAAGTAAGTTGCTGGCAGGTATGAAACCAGAGCTATCCAGGGTTCCAAACCTCAGTCTGCTTTCTAGTACTAAACTAAGCTCTTTTCTCAAATCATGTACAAGATTTTAATGCTGTAGTGCATAGTTCTGTACCTGAGTCATGGGTTTCATTTCACTGTTATGTCCAGCACCAATAAGATAATGGGCCTTAATTCCCACTTCTTCAAATTTTGGGTTATCCTTAATCCACTGGAATAGAGCAAAGGCACTTAGCCGGGCCTTTGTGAAAATAATTCCTCTAGGTGCCTCAGTCTTCGTGAACTCCTCCATTAAAGTGTTTCACAACTGTGTTAGCTTCTCATTTTCATATTCTGGCATTCTAGCCAACTCTTTCAGCTGTTTCTTTTTTGCTTTAAAAATAGCAGACATAAATTAAGGAAAAGTAACCATGTAAAATAACAGCTCTAGAAAAAAAAAAAAAGAACAACAAGGGAAAGGCCAGCTTTCTATACAACTCCCAGCATGGCTAATTCGCAACCAGTTTGAAGAGCAGTGGCACACCAATTATTTTTCCAAGTACGTTTACATTTATTAAAAATACACTAATCAATCAAAATAAATCATCATTAACTTTTAAACATACACTTGATCTATATTTCATGGTAAAAATAAGCAAAAGAAAAAAACACTATCTACACATCAGAAGTGGCACAGAGTTATGTGTACTGTATTAAAGAGCTAAATCACACCTTACAATTTCTGCAAAGCAGTTTTAAAATAACAGGAAGTTTTTCAAGGGGAAACAGATTAATATGCACAGCCCTCAGAGCTGATAATGTTTTTATAAATTTAGACATAAATTCTCCTTGGGACATTCACTGAAGTGGGAATCCTCACTAGAAGCATGCAATGTAATAGACACCAGGATGGGCACACTGGTACTGGTACTGTACTTTTTAAAGGCATTTCAATATGCTCAGTGAAATGTTAAATGAATGATGGCTTCAAACTGAAGGAGGGTAGATTTAGGTTAGATATTATGAAGACATTCTTTATTGTGAGGGTGGTGAGTTACTGGAACAGGCTGCCCAGAGAAACTGTTGGATGCCTCATCATCTGAAGTGTTTAACGCCAGGTTGGATGGAGCTTTGAGCAACCTGGTCTAGTGGAAGGTGTAGTAGTACCAATGCAGTGGTAGTCAATGTATCACAAACTACTACGCCACTTAGGCAGTGGCTTTCTAACTATATTCTTATCATATTTTAGAATGTAATCACACATACAAATACATACAAAAAGTAGGTAGATATAACAAATTCCCATGATGCCCCCTTAGCTAAACATACCAAGGGCTGCAGTGAGTTTATCACCCAAAGATTAAATCCACTCTAAAGCTGGAAAGAGAAGTTTTAGATATTCTAAAAAGCTACTCCTGGCACCTTCAGTGGTAAAATAAAAAAAATAAAAATAAAAAAAATAAATTTCAGTATCAGGTTCCTTGAATTTCATTTACCTGCAGAAATTAAATCAATCTAATGCCCTGGTTTCAGCTGGGATACAGTTAATTTTCTAGCTTGAGATGGGTATGAAGAGTCATTAAAAACCACGATGACATTATTTAATCTAATCTATTTTTCAGAAAGATTTTTTTTAACATTTCCTGAATTTTTTAACAATGGGATTCTGAATTTGTAGTTCATAGGATACATGAAGCTAGGGTACATGCTATAGTAAAATCTATTTTCTTTTGTACTGCCCAGGAGCTGTAGGGAAGGGGAGCAAACTTGTCTACTTCTTCCTCCTTGAAAATGCAGTAAAGGGCAAAATAGAGGCAAAAAAAGATTACTGTGTGAAGGAATAAATGAATCCTAGTTCAGTGGTCTGAATGGTATGAACAAAGAGCAACTAATTTTGGTCTTTGCAATTTAATCCTCTGTTTAATTCTCTCACTAATTGCTGTTTACCTGAAACTTACACAGGACCATCACTCTCATCTCTTAGTATATAGACAAACAAAGCTTGGCAGAAAGGACTGGATAAAAGGTGTCATTTCATTACTTTTATATTCCATTTACTCAACATTTTGCCCCTCTAGAGTGTCTACTGGATTACATGTTCGAAGTATCTATCAGAGTGTCCTCAGGGACACTTTACTGGAAAAAAAGCAGAGAATAGTTTTTACTTATGATCAGCAAATACTCTTTCAGCAAAAATAAAGTGCCCTTGGGCCAAAGCTGAAGAATACTACATGTTGGGATATGATCACACTATATTGTTTAACGTACTCCACACTGTATGAACTGGAACATCAGATACTGTCATAATAAACAACATGGCAACCTCTAGGATGTAATAATTAATGGGCCCATGAAAATCATGTTAATGCATAATCTATGGATTTCAAATATTAAATATCACAATGTATGTCTAACTTACCGTGAAATAAACCTATCAGAAATAAATCTGTTTCATCCTGTTTTGATACTGCTGGTGCATCATCATCATCATCACTCCTTACTGTCTTCTTACTTTTCTCATCCTTATAAAAGTTATTCAGGTGATTGTACGCATCTACCATTCGGATGGTATCATTAATCTGGAGAGCATCATTATATTTCTTCAGGTGCTCTGCACAGACACGTTCCTTGCGTTTTTCTTCTTTTGCAGCTAAAAGTGAACAAAAAATGCAAAAACATGCCTGTGTATAGGATGGCCCAAAGAAATCCAAAGCTGGGGTATTTTTGCTATGCAGTTACCTTTTTTCTCTTCTCTAATCACCCACTGTTCATATGGCTGAGTTCCAAACTCAGATTTTGGATGAAGCTGGCAATAGTTTTGAATCTCTGTCATGATCTCAGTTATTCTCTCTCTAAATGGATCCTAGAAATACATTGATTACTAGAGTAAGTAAGCATCTTCTGGCAACAAAAACACTCGTTCGTACCACACAGAGTAATTTTTTAAAATGTTAAACCTAAGGTTGCTGTGTGCACTTAGAGTTATGGAAATAAATAGTTCAGAATATTACAAAGATGATACTGTGAAACAACTTTTTTTTGGTGTGTGAATGTAATATTACTCCAGTGCAAGCATTTCAACTAGGGTTCAGAAAGTCTTTTGACCAGATATCTTAAAAATATAACTCAAACAAGCAAAAAATTAGTTCTATTTGACTATACTTTGCCATACAGAGGAAAGCAGCAGATAAATACACACATATTAAAATCAGCACTTTTAGCACCATAAATCTATAGAAAAAGAGCATTAGCCAAAAGTTTTCAATACTGTACGACACACTTTTAAAGGGCAACAGAACAGTGATTTATTTGAAAAAAAAACATACCCTTTTTTTGTCATCTGCAATCACAGTCTTCTTAAAAGGTTCCTTCACCTGATTCTTCAGTTGGGAGGCATGCTCCTCAACAGTCATGATTCTACATGCATCAAGATTGGCACAGATCTGAGAGAAAACACAATGTTATTTAACATTTAATGAAAACTACTGAAACATCTAATGAATTAATGCAGCAGAGCTTCTCATTTAAATATTGGGGTTTATATAACTTTATTTTCTTCCTACAAAAATTGGATTCAGACCCTACCATCATAAGAAAGGCCAAGTCTTTGAAAAGCATTTGAGATAAGCTGAACAAGTCACTTTTTAGGCCATAAGTGATCCTTGCACACAGGAAAAAAGCTTGTAGATCAGGGTACAAGCCAGGTATTTTTTAAAAAGAAAACATGCCATCAATACTTTGGAAGAGTAGATTTTGGAGTACAAACCAAACAAAATCAATAATGAAATAGAAAAAAAAATGTTGCTAGTGAGTAATCGTAAAAGTCAAAGCTGGTCAGGAGAGTAGAAAATAATTTTGAATTATACTTCTTGGAAAAGATGGAGGAAATGTTTTTGCTAACTGCACAACTAAACTGGACTTCTCTTGCTTTTGATCTCTTCCAAGAAGTAAATACATACATTTCTGTCACTAAGTCTAAAGCAATAATGGCAAACCTTAAAATTGTTATGAGCAGAGAAAACAGAAAAGGAAGTCTGGAAGGCAACCTTTTAATGTCTTCAGCAGTAGTTATCTATTTGAGTTTGCGTATTCAAATTAAATTTCTTTCAATATAAACCCCAATATCCTATCATTGAGATTTCAGAGATGATGAAAAGGAATTCTGCTTTTTCCATTGCCAGAAAGTTTTTGTCTCAAAATACCTTACAATTCTGCTTTTTCCATTGCCAGAAAGTTTTTGTCTCAAAATACCTTACAATTCTATCTACACCCATAGAACCTAAAAGCTTCTTACACACCTACCTATTCAATATCACATTCTGTTCTTGTGCAATCTGCTAGTCAGGAGTTTTCACAGAAGTACTGAGCTAAACTCTACTTTTGTATTACTAACATAAATCCATTGAATTTCAAGTAAAATAGTTTAAGTATAGAATATAACCAATTATCTTCAGTCAGGTATTTATGAAAGTACACAATACTCCCCTCTCAGTGAGCAACTAACTGCTGTAAAGAAACACATTTGTATACTACCTGTATCTCACAAGTGGTTTCTGCTTAAGTATTCAAATTTATTTTTCACTTTCTTGCAGCCAAAGCCCAGTTTAGTCACGCTAGATATACAGATATAAAACAGTGTGTTCTCTCTAGGATTTAGGAATACACAGCAAATCCTAATCCATCAGTGGAAAAATAATATTTTATTAACTAAAGCCTCGCAATTTTTTCCATTTCTTACCTCTGATCTTGAGAATATTGTTTCAAGTCAGACAATCTTTTCACTTTCCTTTCCAATAATCCTACTTCCCTGTAAAGTAATCTTTATTTGCACATGGATTTTCATTACTTTGTAGTGGGTCAATTTGTTGTATAGTGTGAGCTGAACTCCCATATACACATGAAAAAGATAAATCAGTTTATATATTTGGAGACTAACACTGACTTTGAAAGTTTTACTTGAACCAGACAATCTCTTTCATGGTTTGTAAGTGTGAGGGCTATTTACTTTCAGAATATGTTCTTCAGCTTTGGAATAGGATGTTGTACCTCCTACATCAGGTGAGGCTGTAAGTCCCAGAATCTGAGGCTGTGGGATCAGTGGTTTGTTTTCTTTTGCCAACTTCCTGTTCTTTTTTTTTTTAAGTAACGTCGCATTATGTTGTTGTAGACACCTTCCTTTTGAGTGTGATGACACTCATCAATAATGATGAGTGAAAAATCTGGAAAAAAAAACAACAAAACAAAACTCCAAAAAATGAGCCCCAAATTATTAATTTTCTTTCAAATGTAGAATTTGTGTAACTAAATCAGGTTACAGGTAAGGAGACTGTTGAAGATAACCCATTGGTTTGTTTGAGCCCTAACTTACTAGGAAATTTGTAGTGCTGGAGGAAGGCATGGATGGAGGTTGTATATATTTAACAGATTTTGGACGTTTTGCTGCAGTGCTGATACGTCAAGTAGTTTCACATTTCATGAAGAGCAAAAAGCTTTTCTATTTTTGCAAAAAAAAAAACTGATGGTAAAAAGAATTTCAGAGAGATATTTTTAGTAAACAGTGGTAAGAACACATTACAGTTTAACTCAATCCTATCTTTTATATCCACAACTGCATCTGACAAACTACATACTGTTTGTTTATGAGAAGATACCTAATATGTTACAATCTTTTAGACATTCTAGAAAGACCTGTTCTGATCAAAATATGCTTCTATTTTACAGCAACACAGAGATTTCGTCCATATTCCTGTTCAATTAAAAGATTTATATTGCTTTATGGATGTGTCACTGGAAAGAACAAAACAGATGGTGGGAGTACTACCAATCATCTTTCTTTTGTAGTGGAGCAAACTGATGAAGATTCAGCCAGGTATTATGTGCCTTTAGACAGATCATATTTACATGCAACAAATAAAGTACTATATGAAAAGGAAAATTAAGATTATTTTTCATTTGTTTTCAATTTCTTACAAATATAGAAAACTTTTTTTTTAATCTACCTGCATATGCAGCCAGTGACATGTATTTTAAGGTTCTGATCTGACAGACTTATGAATATTTCTCTGTTTCTTGAACAGCAAAACTGGTTTATAGAGCTCCCACTCTTCCCATATCTGGCTAGTAACTAATTTGATGCTGTTTCCTACAATTCAACAAATGTTTGCAGAAATGACTGTAAAGCAGATCACTGCAATGATCAGGGTTAAACTCTCTTTTCTTTTTTTTTTTTTTCCCTATTTTCTTTTTTAATCCTCATAATTTCCATGGTCTTGTTTACACATTAGTGTGCTCAAATTGTATCACTACCAATGGGTTTGTAAAAACTGGAAGCAGATGTTGGAAATTAATGTAGAGCTAGAACATTCCCAGTTCATGTTTCTGCTGGAGAAAATATCATGTAACTTCACCTCTGAAGAACCTACAGAAAGGTGGAGACTGAACAATGGAAATTTTATTTAAAGGCTAAACCAACAACTATAAGTAGGAAAACAAACTAGTGAGCCATGTCACTGGGGAAATCTGATTTTCTTTGCACAGGTGGTTCAGGAAGGCAGTTGGACTGCAGTGATGTGGTTACAAATCCAAATTTCTATTTATTTCTAAGATTTCTACTTTTACAAGACTTCAGAAGCAGTGCTGGCAGTTACTCAGTTATTTTGCCAACATGAAATTACTCCCTCTGATCTTGACCATTATCTTTGCAATGCATATTCCTATTATTACTCAGGAAGAACCTAACCCACCGAGAGATGCGCTTCTACTAAGAAATTATACACAGCTTTTGGAAAGTCCACACAGTGACTTCAGCCCTTAGTGAAAAGGTTAAACATTTGGTAAAACACAACTAAGAGAGCCTCCTCCATTTCACTGAGGCTGGAATTTCATGTTATATATATGCAGACCTCTGTAAAAACAGATGAAAAAAGCATGAACAGAAATTAGGAATAAAAACTTTATAACTAATTAGGATGGTTTATATAGGCTGTAAGTTAACAAAATCATAGCCATCATAATGGGGCTGCCTCTGTTCAGGCTTGCTTGGCTTTAGTCCAGCTGAACTTTCTAGCATAGGTGTAACAGCAAGGAAACATGGCCCTGTTTGCAGGGCCATCTCAGTTTGGAGAAAATATAGCTCCTTATGAAGGGAACATCAAGGTGTGAAACCCATTCAAAAAGCCACTTCATAACACAAGCTGGCTGGGACTCAGCCCAATTGTGATCAGGTCAGCAGTTCCTGTTCAGGTGCCTCTATACAGCATTCCCAAATGATTCAGATTTGGGTAGGTTTATTAACTTAGGTGCAGTGGAAAGGAAGTATAAGAAAATCTCTGGTGCTCTGCCTAGAATAATAAAAAAGCAATCTGAAGAAGGGGAGGCAATTCTGGGGTACCCAAGCAGCTCTGTATGTAGTAGTTAGTTTGGATCAAGCAATACTCCAGTCAGCTCTAGGCACTGACACAGACTGATCCCTCAGGTTTCTCTGCTGCTTTTTGTAACACCCAGGCAAGTACTTCTTTTGCAAATCTAATATTTTCTAGAATAGAGACATACTTTTAGCCCTTCTGTAAGTATTTTAGAATTAAAAGCTTGCCTGATAAGTGGACACCTTCTTCATCTTCTTTGCCTACATTTAGCAGTGAATTCTCAAGGATCTGTGCTGTACAGATGATGACATTATTTTTTTTGACAACTTCAGGAAATGAGATTTTCAGCTGAGAATCACCACTTAAACCAATAACATGATACCAGCGCTTCAGGAATGGACTAAACTCCTTTCGTAAATGCTGTTCTACCAATGGTACCTGAATAAAAGTTTCCAAAGAATTTAAATCAGAACATATATAGGATTAAAAACTAAATGCCTGTTTGCCAGACATGCTGTTAGGTGAACACACACACTTTGCACAAAATATACCTTGCTAAAAGAGCAAACATCCCCTTTATTCTCTGCAGGGTAGGATTAAAAAAAACTGCAAACACAGAAAACCAAAACCAAGCATTAAAAATTTTCAAAGCAATCCCTCCCCTCCAACTGCTCCTACAAAACCTTTTTGTCCAAGAGCTTTGGCGTAACTGTGCCTTAGAAAGAACAAACAAATCACGAATGCTCTGGCTCTTAAGCCAAATTTACAACATGGTATCAATTTTATTCTTACAAAAGGATATCCATACCTTTTATTGGTTTTATAAAATTTTAAAATAAATATATTTCCATATTTCAGTATTACAACAGAATATTACTTTCTATTATATGCACTAAATTTAACTGTAAAAATTACAGTAATTAGCAGAAAATCTGATAGAATATTCCTAACTACTGTGAGACTCATTAGGTGGCCTTCACTACCAAATCCAAACACAGAACGTGAAAAATATTTTTATTTTTTAAAAGATTATTTCAGTTCTATTCATTTTAAAATGAAATTGTACTTTTTCCAATAATGTGGTTATTAGGGAAAATCTAGATTTGCATTTGCACTGGGGTAAACTAAAACCAATTGTGCTTGCAGCATGATGACGGTGCAATGGAGATGACAGCCTAGAGCTGTATGCCTTTGAACATAGCCAGATCTGGAGAAGCCAAGTTATGCGTTTATATTAATTTTACAAGTTCTGTATTAATAGTGCATGAGGTTTAAAAAAAATACTATTTTTTAAAAAATGGACAAACATACCTTATTAACAAGGACTATAACTTTTCCAGGCTCTGATGCTCTTTTCTTTTTATCCAAATGATCTTTGGTAATGTAAACAGCCACTCTGGTTTTACCACTGCCTGTAGGGAGACATATTATAATATTCTCCCCATTCAGTGCTGGCTTTGCAACTTCCACCTGGTAATCTCTCAGGACCAGATCTGGCTCAGGTGAAGCTCTGCTCTCCTCTTCATCTGAGGGTACAAAGAAATGTAAGTATCAAACAAGAGGCATAGAACATTTATCAGATTATTCAACAAATGTCAAAGGGAAAATTATTAATTTCCTATCAGAAACATCTTCTGAATAAATAGTGCATATTAGCATAGGCAATGCTGCTCTGTGGACCTGTGCAATTCTGAATCAGAACTGCTTACATTCAGTCACCAACCAGGGTAGGCAGCATAAGCCACTGTACGTCTTCAGCCATCTCTGTTGACACAACTATTATCATGTATGAATTCAAATGACACAGTTCAGTAGCACTGGGACCAACAAAGGTTGTGTTCAGAGCTGCAGCATTTATAAACCAGCCAATCTTATGTGACGTTCTCTTTCATCAGTACTGAAATTTATTTGATTGTGAGCCACCTTTTTAAATACTTCCCAGAGGATGAAAGAAAGGATGGAGTCACAGAAAGAAAGAGAGATAGGGACCACTTAAAAAATGATGAAGGGAGTTATAAAATATAAAGATCAAACAGATAAGAAAATTCAATTGCCCATACAAGATAGAGCTAACTGCAGAATGTATCACACCTATTCATGGTAAATTGCGCTGCTTCCAGACTGACTCACAGATAATGCGATTGAGCTGTTCGCTAAAAAGCCATATACATGTGTCACATGAAGGCCCAAACCTTCCATCTATCATATAAAATGTAGTGGCAGAGAGTTCAAATCTGTGGCTCACAGGTGAAACAAACAATGTTCAAAAGTTAAAAGTAGAAAATGCTGTTGCATTATTTCAGGCTGTAAAAAGATCTCACGAGTTTACAAATATTTAGGAAGTCAGAAGTTGTATATATGAATATCAGAAGGATTTATTTTAAAGGAGCCTGGGGCTTTTTTTCTCCTGCAGATATGTTTACATCACCCTCCGAGGATTAACTGTCCTCAGTGAAGAAAAGGCACAATTCATTCTACGAGACTAAAAATGAGGGGGAAAACCCTATAGTTTCATTTCCTGATGATATCCTTAAGTGAAGGATCATGAGGATTTTATTATCACTGATACATTACACACAAAGCAAGTGTATCTTTCTAGTGTCCCTGATTCCATTAAATAAAATTAAACTAACAAAAAGTAATGAAGCTTGATAAAATACTGCTGATGGAAACATCTGAATGCCACTCTTAAGTGTTTTTTGCTTGTTTTGCCTTTTAGTGTGAGTGCACTACTACCTGGAACACATGGAAATTCACACCAGAGAGTACTTGATGTTACTTATCTGACTTCTAGTACTCTCTTTTGAAGAAGAAGGTTGTTTGCTTTCTGGTTGGCTAAATTCAATAGTTCAATCATACTGAAACTAGCACTTTATCACCCATCTGTTTGGTTAAATTTCAGCTCCTTAACATCCTCAATTAACTGTCCAGGCCTAAAGAATATTTAACTTAGCTCTCTCCTAGCTTCCTCAGCCACTGTTGAGGGAAAGGCTAATACAGGAATCTTTTCACAGGATATGATTCCATTAAAGAACTTTCATTGTGCACAGTATAACTTTAGGGAAGTTATCTGCCTTTGTACAAGGCTCAAATGAATTGCCTCTCTGGGACAAAAGAAGCATGATAATTATTCTTCTATTGTCCTAATTCCACCATTTTTCTTTTCTGTAAAATAATCCTTGCACAGAAGACTCCAACTAAATCCACGATTTTTTGCATTAAAATCCAAATCATGTCAGTGCATTAAGACACTATCCAAACATTTCTGTTAACAGAACAGCCTTACTGCAAAATTTTAAATTATAAAATCCATAAATATCACAAAGTCCATCTGTATCTCCTTAGCTTTTTTCTCATAGTTGCTCTCACTGAGTTTACCAGGCATGATTAAAAAGCATGATTTTTTTCACTAGTTATTTTTAAAGCCCACATGTAAGCAACAGAACAGATAGTGAGTAAACATGGGGGGGGGGGGGGAATCTATTCTACTTTCTTCACATAAATGTAGTGAGGTTTTTTTTTTTCTGCTGGACGGCTGGACTACTGGACATAGGCAATGCCCAGTTTACTGAGTTTTTGCAGGAATCTTAAAGGATCAAGCCATACATACTTATGTGCTGCCCCATACCAGTAGCCTGTGTCAGCCTGACCAATATAGTGTGACTGTCCACAGAACAGAAACTTCTGTGCTCAGACATTTCATATGACACAGTAAGGAAATAAATACAATGTGACTGATGAGTCACCAGTTGATGCAGAAGTACAAGGTATATTCTTCAGAGTTAGCAATAGATAGGCTAAAATCTTAGCTAGAGGGTTGCAGTTTAGGTTTCACGTATCTTGAATTTTCTGTGTATTTAAAAAAATACGTGGATTTTAATATTTTAAAAGCTTGAAACTATTTTAAAACCATTAACAATAAACATTTTGCAGGCATTATGATATATAATATTTGTGTTGACTTCGCTGATCTAATACTAGCATTATTAGGCAAAGATGGCCTGAAAGATACCCAGATTGTTTCTAGCTCTTGTACAAGACAGTCCCAGCACAAACTTTATAAAGGCTAAGCTCCAAAAGGTAAGCGGTTCCTCTTGAATTCTGCGTAGGCATGCTCAGGCTGTTCACCACAGTGGACAGCTGTAAATCTTGTTCTGCCTGCCTGAGGTCTAAGACTGAAAAAAAAGAACTAAAATTGGGATGTGTTTTACAGCAGCAGTGTTTAATTGGGCTCAGGGTGTGCATATATACATTTATAGCAAATTCATAACTGTATGCACAGTATTATGTAAACACAGCCCAACATTTAGTTTCAAACTATATTGAGAACTTGCACAATATGTTTAAATGAGAGATTTGCAAATGTCTTCAGATACTAACCTCCACTGATTAGGTTGCTTTTACAAACATGGCTACTAAACTACTTGGGTCCAAAGTGGACTTTCATTGCTGTTCTGAAAGTACAATGGAAATGCATCTCCTCACTCTTAGATGCCCCTAAAGCATTGTCCTATTTCCTCCCACCCTATGTGGGTGCCAGGCACAATCTAGCTCCTCTCTGAGAGCAAAAGAAGCATATATATGTGGCAGCATTATCGGTATCTGTACAGCCGACTGCACTGGATGACTTCAGAAAGTCCCTTATAGTCTATATGTTTCTATCATTCTGCATCACTGACCATTTTCTGCGATGATGATGCCTAGAGGCTTATTCAGACGATCTCAGTAAATTAGCTCTTTTGGGGCTGGGACTTAAGTCCAGACCCATAAAAATGGCATCTATTTCCCAACAAAATAAGAGGAAGTCTGGCGTCTACGTACTGTGAATTAGAGTTCAGTGAAAGCCTTCTTTTGATTTTTGTTCTAAATTCCTTTTGCAATTACTAAATAACAAAAGGGAAACATACCTGAATCACTGCTTGTAAAGTTCCATCCCAGGTTTTCCTTCAAGTAACTGACACTTCCAGCTCCTATAGAGACATCTGACTCTAAAAGAAAAGCACAAAAAATGTAGTAATGTGTTACACAAATACAAACAGCAAAAGCATATTGTTTGCTTTCTCCCCAAGTTGTTAAAATAAGCTATACAAATGTCTCGCAAAGATGTCTGAACTATAACTACCTTTATTAAACTTTATCTCAGTTAAAGAAAAAATCTGGAACAATATGATGAATTTCTTCTTATAGAAGAAAATATGGATGGGAAGATGAAAAAACAAAACATAGAAGAGGTAAGGCAATGTGGGTCATGGTTGATTTTTTTTCAGGCATCTATGTTCTGTTTGCTTGAAAGCAAGGGTCCATACATGACCAACTGCATGATCCCCTCTAGTCCTGTTTTACTGTAACTTTTCAGAGGAGTGAAGAACCAACACCCTCACACCCCAAAAAAAACAAAAATAAAAAAAAAAAAAAAAGGAAAAACATGTTAGCCTACCAGATACACTGAGCTGCTGGAAAACTGAAGACATTGTCTTCTGCTCCCTGCAAGCCAAGTGAGTTACATCTGTAGTCAAAGAAAATTCAAAATAATAACTGTGATTTTTTTTTTAAAGGGTTTCTTCATGTAACATGAAAAGAGTAAAATACAGTTCCCAGTAAATAAAAGCAGAAGGGAATTAGTAAATTTTCCAAAGTGTTTACAAGTAAAATCAGAGACTGACAATCCCATTACACCCAAGAGAATACTGGGACACTTTCACACAAAATCTGGCAGGTTTACTGTACACATTCTAATGTTAAGATCTCCCTCTGCTGGACAATCAATATATTACACTGACTTTTTTCAGTATCAAGTGTAACTTGCATAGGTGGATTTTCCAAAACTTAGTCCTTTTAGTATCTAAAGAGATACACAGTTCTTCTGGAAAAATCTGCCTCATCCTACACTGTCAGCTTACATGCAGCAGCTGCAACTGAGCTTATAGTGCATATAGAAAGTTGTATATGGGGCTGCATCAAAAGCAGCGTGACCAGCAGGTCGAAGGAGGTGATCTTGCCCCTCTACTCTCCCCTTGAGAGAGCCTACTTGGAGTACTGTGTGCATTTCTAGTGTCTTCAACATAAGAAGGACATGGAGCTGTTGGAACAAGTCCAGAGGAGGGCCAAGAGGATGATCAGGGGGCTGGAGTACCTCCTGTATGAAGACAGGCTGAGAAAGTTGGGGCTGTTCAGCCTGGAGAAGAGAAGGCTGTGTAGAGACCTCATAGCAGCCTTCCAGTATCTGAAGGGGGGCTATAGGGATGCTGGGGAGGGACTCTTCATCAAGGACTGTAGCGACAGGACATGGGGGAATGGGTTTAAACTCAAACGGGGGAAGTTCAAGTTAGAGATAAGTTCTACCTAAATTAAAACCCTTGTCTCCTAGAAATCAATGCAATCAAAATATATTCTCAGCAGAATCATGATACAAGATTTCCCTCTTATGCATTTAATATCACATTAAAAGACAGCATTGTCCTGGAAAAATGAAGAAAACTTCACCGGCTATAATCTATGTTGAAAGACCTGCGACAAGCTACTAAATAGCAGTAGTGGGAATTCAAACTATGAAGAACTGCAATCTCTTGTTTCACTTTCTAGGAATCCATGTGGATAGGAAAGAGAGGACTTCATTAAAATTTTATGTATCTACTCCATGTGGTCTCCCATCTAAAATGACACATTGAAAGATGTATGTGCAGCAGATGCTATGCATTTACAAAGTGTTTTTTACATAATTATCTGAATTACAATGTTCAGCATGCACTACTGTCGTGGTTTAAGCCCAGCCAGTAGCTCAGAACCACGCAGCCACTCGCTTCCTACCCCCGCTCCCCCTCCCCGCTACTGGAGGGATGGGGAGGAGAATCAAAATGTAACTCCCACAGGATAAGAACACTCCAGTAACTAAGGTATAACATAAACCCACTGCTGCTGCCAATAATAATAATAATGATAAGGGAAATAACAAGGGAAGACAATACAAGTGCTCACCACCTGCCAACCGATACCCAGCCTGACCTGAGCAGTGATCCCACCCTTCCGGGTAACTGCCCCCAGTTTACATACTGGGCATGATGTGCTGTGGTATGGAATACCTCTTTGGCTACCTTGGGTCAGGTGTCCTGTCTCTGCTTCCTCCCGGCTTCCCCTGCTCCCTGGCAGAGCATGAGACTCAGAAAGTCCTTGGTCAAAGTAAACATGACTGAGGAGCAACTAAAAACATTGGTGTTATCAGCGCTGTTCCCAGGCTGATACAGTCAAAAACAGAGCACTTCACCAGCTACTAAGAAGGAGAAAAAATAACTGCTACTGCTGAACCTAGGACAACTATAAAATAATATCTCAACAGAAAATGTTAGTGGTGAAGTACAACATAAAATACTCATCTTCCAAACGAAAGGTGAATAGAATAATGTTGTCATTGTAAACTATGGCAACATTCTTTTTATAATAAATAAATAAATACAACAGTAACCCTTTCTAAAGCAATGAAGATGAAAGAGTTATTATTCCAACAGCTGTTTTCACCACTTTCACTAGTCTTCCCTTACAGTGCTACTTACACATTGTAACGCAGCATATTCCACAGGAAGATTTTCAGTCACTTTACACTAAGTAAGAATAGACAAGGGAATGCAGTGGGGGGAAAAAAAAAGGATCTCTACAAGATTAAAGAAGTCTTTCTTTCCTGTCCTGTGCTACATTATGTCACAGAATAAGTGTCAGACACTGGAAAATATAAATGAAGGACTAAAATATAAAGAGGCTATTAAAATTTGTCCTACTTTCAATTCAATGGGCAGTTTTTCTATCTGAAAAATTAAGAGACATTTCATGAGACATTACTGAAATCTCCAGTCTTATTTACAATGTAATTATTTGTTCCAGTCAACTTTTTTTATGAATCAGGCCTTGAAAAACAGACCTGCTGTTTATTTAAATTGTTGTTTATACAGGTAACTGTGGCTTTAACTCAAGTGTTTCACTTCTGACCCTGCAAACCTACTGCTTTTGTGTTGGTTTCTGTGTGTGCAATTTCTTATCTGTGCTTTTGCATGCACAATATGTCTCTATTTTTGACTTAGGTTAAGCAATCTATTTCTGTTTCATCTTTATGACCCCAATGCCCTCATACCTTCACACTCCCTCTGCCTAAGCTACTCCAGTAAGAGGACACTAGATACAATGCACACAGCAGTAATTCCAAGTGGCTTGAAAAAATTTCTCCCTGAAATATGCCCTCCTTGAAAATTGTCCTTCTCCATACATGAAGGAATGGTGGGAGTGTGCTGCAAAACTGGCAACACTTGACAGCATTAAATTGCAAATTAAGTGGGTTCCCAGCCTACTTGGAAGTAGAATCTGGGCTCCAGTTGTATTTTCAGCTGCCTGGTCTAAAAATACAATCTTATGAGATCACCAGAAAGGATGGAAATGGAAAAAGGATTTGAGTGCAGTTAAGTCTGTGTGTACGAGTGCATAGAGATCAAAGCTTACTGCACTTCAGGATGGCTCAATGTGAGCCAGTCCCTCTACAGCCATCTTCATGCAGCACTGTCTCCTGGCAGCCTTGGTACATTGCATCTATTCTGACAGCTTAGTGTGACTTCAAAGCACATGCTTACAGTGAACCTATCAATTGTTCCCACTAATAGTACTCTGGTTCATATCACAAAGCTGGTTTGGACCAGAAGAAATGAACTCCTACCAGCTGAAATGAAATTAGGTGTGTTCCAGCCACCTGCAGGCATACAATCCACACCAGACTGAAGTCAACCTGAACCAAACTGCTAGAATTCACATACTATGTACGCCCTTAACACCATTTCTCTGACCACTCAACTGCACAAACTGCTAATACCCACTGTCTTTTAAATTTAAGCACAGTTCAGTGTTGAGCAGACCTTAGTTTTCAGGCTAGAATTAGCCTGTGGCAGGTTAGTTAATATTGAATAGATCTGGCTATCTGTAACCCTCAACCTGACAAGAGTCAGGTGAAAGGTCAGGCTAACAGCAACATGCTTTCAGTGAGGCTGTAATTAAGAGCCTTACCCTTGCCCTGAAAGGATTGAAAGAGTGAGGATAAAAGTCTGATCCATTCTATATCATCATTAAATATTTGGCACCTCTTCTTTATACTGCCAAATTATGTTCTAATCCAGGAAAACCAAGATATTTTTGCTGTAGTTAATAATTCACTACTTGCTACAAAACATTGTGATATGCTGTTAATATCATGCTAAATGAGAAATAGGCTACTACTGTTGCACACTGAAAGGCTGCAGTTTTTAGAGCCAATTTTTTTTTTTCTTATTTATTCATGTTTGATAAAAAAAGAGCAGCCTTAGCTGTCTTACTCTTTTGGCTGAGTAAGCCCACTAAAATCATTTCAGGCAGGATTTATCTCAGTTGTAACTATTGTCTGAGCTCCATTTGAACTTGTAACACATATGAATGGTTCCTTAATCATGCAGCATATGTTTGAAACATTGGTTCCCAGCTATGTCTGGGAATTGTTGCCGATAATTGCTGTTGCTCGCAATCAACTCCCAAGGCACGTTTTTAAAAGTGGGTCCATATGAACAACAGGCCATAACAATTTCTAAAAATTTGTACTAGAAAATGTACTTCTGAGCATGTGATGTAAATGACAAAGGTTGTTGGATGCTCTGTAAATATAAAAACTTAAAATAAACACAAAAATTGCTTGTTGGACCAAAACCAAAAATGTTTTCCAGTATAGAATTATAAGACTTCTAGAATGAATGACAATGCAGCTGCAGTTATACTGGTCCAGAAACATTCCTCTTGATTTACACTGGAAGTTGTCAATGTAAACCTAATGTTTTCACTGGATAGTATAAACCTACCATGAATAGATCTGACATAAGATATTAATTTAATATATTCATATAATTTGATATAAATATGAATTTAAAAATACAAATAGTTTAAATTTAAAACATTAAATGTTTGAAAATTACTAATTTCTTCACACAGTAAATAAAAAAAAGAATACAAAGTTGTTAAAAGTGCTATTTAAGAGGAAAGGAAGGATCACTGATGTTGGTCAATTTTAAGAAAATCAATCAGCCCATAGCATATAAAATGTCATCACTACAACCAGGATACAGAAAACATCTACGTGAAGGCTGTACATAGCATGCTCAGATTTCTGGGCCATGTCCTCCTAAGCCATTCAGTACCGTGCTAGCAAATTGATTTCTGAACCAGCTCTTACTTTTCAGATTAATTAGTTCAAGTATGACAACATATAGTTGTTCTACAGCAGCTCTTTGAACTGAAGAAATTTGTAGATCCGGCCCTTGAAATTGCTACTGCTGTTAATTCATAGGAAGATATGGCATTTTCTGCTTCCAAAAAAATCAAGATTTACTTTTTCATTCATTCTTTTCCCCTTGACAGTACCATATGTTCCTGATGCATCAAGAACGTTCTCTCAGTTGCTAAAGTTTAACTGGTACAGCACAAGTAAACATACCTGAAACTACAGAATTCTTTCCAATAGATGTTTCCAATAAATTGTTCTCACTGCTGAAACTATCATTCAGATTTTCCTGCTGCTTTAAATCCTCCACTATGGCATAACCTGGTTGGCTTGTAACTTCTGTTTCTTCGTTTGTACTGTTCTTCATCCCATTTTGTTTATCCTTTGTTCCTAGAAAATAAATTTCAAGGCACTATAAACCATCTAATTTCTTTTAGTGTGGAGCATAGAAAACATAGAACAAACCTCACACACATAATAGCATAACATGTGGTCTTAGTCTTGATTTACACATCACAGAATCACAGACTAGTTTGAATAGGAAGGGACCTTCAACTATTAACTAGTCCCAAAGCCCCTGCCATGGGCAGCTACATCTTTCACTAGATCAGGTTGCTCAAAGCCTCACACAACCTGGTCTCAAACACCTCCACTGACAGTTTGGAAGTTTGATATTTTTATAAATATTTATTAATAAAGTTGTTGATCATAAATCTCAAATATCTGTGGTCATGATAAAGATCTGAAAACTGAATTTGTGGACTAGACTGTGTTTGCTACCTTCTCAATTCCATTGGTCTTGTAAGTTCACAAACAGATGTATCTTACAGAGGACATCAAAACTTACCCACACAACAGAATACCTGAGAAAGCTTTCACAAAATGTTTTGCCTCCTTCCACTTCTTTTATCTTTTACGGAATAATTTCCCTTTGACTTCTCTGTTCTTTTATTTTTACTAGGCTCGTGCAGAACCAGGCATCCTCCAAGGGCAAAAAAAATTGTTCAAAAAATCATAAACTTTAAAAAAAACACCAAATCAAACTGCGTTAAGACTGCATTCCAGGGTTTGCCAGATTTGGAATTCAATTACTCTGCAATTAAAAATTAAGTGCAAAGAATTTAATAGAGTTAATTTATATCTATATGTAGGTGCCTGCTAACAGCACTGTAACAAATCAACCTGGAGTGATAAAATGTAGCACCACTCTTCCCCTTCCAAGGTACCCAATGAACCTTTCTTAGTGGTTCCCTTCCATGACCTTGTATCAGTGGATGCTACAGCAATCAAACAATTTACATATCTGCACACATATACGACTGTGTACATGGAAACTTTCTTATCCTCTGGTAAGAGTAACACAATTTATGCTTTACATAATAATCTGCAATTAACTATCTTGGGGCCTGCATTGCCCAAGATTACTGAGAAACTGTGGAATAAATGCATTCATTTACATATTGCATTGAACAACTGAACTCAATCTTATCTGCTTATTTGTATCTGGCAGAAGACAGGTTGATTCCTGTCCTCAGCTGGAACCTTCACACCCCTCTTTATCCCAATCTTATTGCATTGTCCCATATACAGCAAATAAAAGTACATAGTTCTGGTGAACTTGAGAAGGCTGAAGCTGCTAAATGGGAAATCTGTTAAACTTTAGTCTCAAAAATCTTATAAAACATACGTGAAGCCCTATAAAAAAATGAGGGATAGAGTATTTGGGGGCTGGTTCCTTTTTCATACTTTAAAATCCAGAGGAGCACTGGGATCATTTTACAATATCATAATTACTGTACAAGAATTAAAAGTCGTAGCTCTTTTAGGTTTATGCTAATAATCTCTTTACTAAATTATTCTGTTATTCATAGTAAATTTCATAGAATGTCTTGAGACTTACTTGTCTTATCCCCAAGGAGACATAATGCAGCGTACTTTAAAATCTTGCATATATTTGTAAACCATTCTGAAAGGAAAACACTAATCCTTTTGTTGACGGAGAAATATAGAAAAGGTTTGTTTGTTCAAATTAATCTTCAGGATATTTTTCATTATTATAAAAACATCACATTGAAAACCAATAGGTTATAAAAGGTAAGGATTCAGTTTAATTACAACTACATGCCTACTCTTGTAATTCTGATATTATAAGGATTTTAAGTGTTTAAGAATCTATCAAATAAGCTGCTAAATAACTTGATCTTGAAATCCCCAGACAAGTGAAAGCATTAGTCTCAATGTCATAGTGAATTCAATGCAGAGAGAATCCTGCATTGTTTCCCGAGTAACAGAAAGGAGGTATTAAAAAAACCCACAGATTAGTGCTAGTGAAATAAGATTATTACCTCCTATATTTCCACTTGAATCATCTGCAAGTCCTCCATGTTGGGTTTCATGCAGAGCAATCAAAAAACGAGAGAACCAATCTTTCTTCTGCACTAATCTGCTCAATAGCTCCCTTGCACCTTCTCTGTTCCCACGACTGTCAGTAACAGTATGGATGTGGTAAAAATAAAAAACCAAACACAATCCTGAGACAGACTTTGGAAATGGTTTAGAGAAGTTAGTAAGAATTGTAGAGGTACAAATGCGTTTCCCTCTCATCATTAAAACATACTGTGCTGGTTTAGGCTGGGGTGGAGTTAATTCTCTTCATAGTAGCCATTATGGGGCTATGTTTTGGATTTGTTTTGAAAACAGCATTGATAATGCAGGAATGTTTTAGTTACTACTGAGTTGGGCTTCCACAGAGTCCAGGCCTTGTCTGCTCCTCACCCCACCCCACCAGCAAGCAGGCTGGGGGTGCACAAGAAGTTTGGAGGGGACACTGCTGGGACAACTGAGCCCAACTGACTAAAGGGATATCCCATACCATATGGCACCCCGCTCAGCATATAAAACTGGAGGAAGGCTGGGGGACACTGACAGTTACAGCATTTGTCTTCCCAAGTAACCATTACATGTGATGGAGCCCTGCTTTCCTAGAAATGGATGAACACCTGCATGCCCAAGGGAAGTGGTGACTGAATCCCTTGTTTTACTTTGCTTACAGTGCAGCTTTTGCTTTACCTATTAAACTGTCTTTATCTTAATCCACAAGTTTTCTCACTTTCACTCTTCCAGATCTCTCCCACATCCCTTGAGGGGGGAGTGAGCGAGTGGCTGTGTGGTGCTTAGTTGCCAACTGGGGTTAAACTACAACACATACTTAATAAAGGTATAAAGTGGGCTTGCCATTTATCAGAAGAGAGATACTACAGTTTTGTCCAACCTTGTATTTATCCCATATGGTTTCAGATAGGAAATATAAAACTTATTAGAGCTGAAATGTAACTGGAGAGACTGACAGTTTTGGACAATTGTTATAAAAATAACTATTACATAATAATTATTAATATGGAATAATAATTGGTGTTCACATTGGTTTAAGGAATAGACAATCCTGATTAAGGAGAAATGATGTTGCATATCTTAGCAGTGCTCAGACTTAATCTGCTAACACGACCTCAAACATAAGATGGAACATTTTCCTTCTTAAACTGACTTTATCACCTCAATTCCCACTTAAAGGTACAACAGGTAAGCCTCTAGAAAGCGGCTATTACCTTCAAAGAAGCTATGGAAAAGTGTTCCAAGGTTGTCATGAGCAGGAATTGACATGTGATCACATGAGGAACAAAATGACCACCCCAAAAACAAAGCAGCCTGAGAGAGGTGTTCAGTCCTCAAGGGCAATTTTCTTGAGGCTTAAGAATCACCCATCCTGATTATCAAGACAACAGGCAGGCACAGCAGTGAGAAGCCCTGACTGAGACTGAATACTATGAGAAAGTGCATGGGAATTGGGAGCAGGGAGAAGTAAACAAAAAGGAATATAGAAGCATATTAAGAAGGCCTAGGTGCCACTGTTGTTGAAACCAGCAGGATTGTAAAGGGCTTAATGGAAACAGCAGCAGAAAAATTACAACCCTGGAGGGAACAGGTGAACCCACTACCAGGGAATGGAGCCAGTAACCTCCAAAAAGGACCTTACCTCTGCCTGCTACATTACCATGCTTGGCTCCTCATCCACTAGGGTGCAGCCGGCCCTTGCTGCTACCCGGCAGTCACCAGCCAGTTATGTATATGACTGTTATTTAACTGACATGGAGCACTGAACTACCTAAAAAGCGGATGCAAAAGCTCAGTGCAAATATGATGTAGTCCACGCTTAGTCTGCTAGTTTCTCCCTTATTGCTACAGCAAGTATTACTTTAATTTCTTTTTCTAGCTCTGTTTCATGGTATTAGTTTTCTGGGGTATCATTTTTTAAGTTTCACACTAGTCCAGGACAGTCATTCTTAGCCAAATGGGGTAAACACCAGCAAATGTTTTCATTATGGTTTTGCTTTCTTGTCAAACTGGTATTTCTGCTCAGCTTCAGTGTCTAGTATGATACTCCTTAATGAAACTATGGCAGAAAAAGGGAAGGGAAACTCTTGCGTTAACTCAAGCAGTCTGTATGACTTTACAGGCCATCACTACTTCTGGTATGGTTCAGGGGCTGGAAGATACTGATATTTTGAGCCCATAGTCTGTGGAAAATGGTAAATAACAGCAAAGCCAGCCATATTCCTTTGACAGTGGCCTGGCTCTTACCTGGCATCCTACTTGCTGCTCACAAGTCTTCACTGGCTTACCTGGAGCACCATCTTTTACCTCAAGTTTGGGCACTCCCCTTTTCTTTTTACACTTGCAAGGCCATTTCTAGTTGTGGCTTCTTATCTGCCTCACAGCTCCTGGGAGCTGCCTGTGTCTGTGGCACTGTTTGGTACCTGGCCTGGTGGGCAGGCCACTTACCCCATCCAGGTCCTCATCCTGGAAGATGCCCATCTGCAGGCACTTCTCGGCCACCTGCACGGTCCGCATACTATCCACGACAGTGCTGTGAAGCAGCTGCACCAATTGCACGCAGAGGTCGTGGTCGGCCTCCTCGGCCGGCGAGGGCAGCTGGCTGAGGCTGGGGTTCACGTAGCAGGCGGCCATGCTGCAGCCGCCATGCTCAAGCGCCTGCAAGAACTCGTGGAACCAGCCACACCCGCGCGGTCTCCGCTCCACGGCCCGCAGCAGCTCCTCCGCCCCTTCCACCTCGTCCCGCTGCAGCCTAGCAGCGCAGCAGCGCGCACCTTCTCCCTGTCCTCCGCGCTAAGCGAAGGGAGCCGGTCCAGCACCGGCTGCACCCGGATGAACTGCTTCAGCCACGGCCTGAAGCACGAGATCATGTAGAGGAAACGCTCGTCTGGCAATTCCGCTGCCATCGCCGCGCTGGCGGCGCCCAGGGACGCTGCTACAGGACACCGGGGACGGAGGGGCGGGGAGGTGCCTGCTGCTGCTCCGACACGGGTCTTTGGAGGCGGCGGTCCGGCTCGGCGTGAGCGAGGAGCGCGGCCCCGTTTCGTTCCACGGCTCCTCAGGCTGCCACCTGGCCACCCCCGGTTTATCCCAACCCCGGCGCCGCTTTCGGTTTCGCTTGCCAGTTCGGCATGTGACGGCACCGGCCTGCCTCGCCCGGCAGCTGCAGGGCCGGGCACATCGCAGTGCTGCTACTGCTGAGCGTTTACCTGGAAACCTTTTAACAGAAGCCGCGAGTTTAAAACCAAATCAACCAAACATAAGCTAACCTATTTGGACGATACATCAGTTTTTCTTGTCAGGCCTCAGAAGCCTGCGTAGGTTACTTGGGTGCAGTGTGTGTAGACAGGTTGTTTGTATGTTTGCTTCATTTGTCAAATCGTGTGTGTAGCAGTGGTAAACAAAACAACCAAACATAAACCAAGAGTACCATCACTCATGAGTTTCTCAGGCCGGTCACTGGCATGTCAGGGTACCCGCAGGGTGCCTCTCCAGGTATGCACCCACAGGGAAATGAGGCGCTTGGGTGCAGGAGTGTCTGCGATCGTTTGCAGGTTAAGCCTTTTTGCAGAATACACACCCACAAGAAGCCATCAAGGAAGTAAAGCTTACTTGTATGCGCTAATGGTTTACTTCGGGCATGTCTTAAAGAGATTTTTACATTTTTGTGCCTTTTTTTTTGTTTGTTTGTTTGAAGGATTTCACCTTGCATACAAAGCAGGAGGCACATGATAAACTTCCTAGAGGAGTTTGTTGGATAGTCTGAGATTGTTGGAACAGTCTCCCATTGAGATGTGGTTTCCCCCATATGGTAGATGTCACTGAGTTTCAGAAGCAGGCTTGGTTTATATTGTGAGCTTTTAGGGCACTTCAGTGTGAGTCCGAGGTAACTCAATTTCATGGTTTGTAGCATGATGATAAACAGAGAACGCCAGGATTACTGTCTTCAGTTTCAGACCTGGACAGCTCAAGAGAGAGAGAGAGTAAAAAACTGAAAAGGACCCAGAGAAGGGCCAGCACAATGCTTACATGTATTTGAAGAAACTGGGTTTATTCAGCCTAGAGAAAAGAAGTCTTGGGAGGTCCATTCGGACTCCTAAAAGTTGCATCCCTCTTCACAGGGATACATGGCACAAGCGGCAACTGGATTAAGTTTCTTCTGGGGAAATTCTATCCAGGTAAAAGAGAAAATATTCTCAACTGTGAAAACAATTAGACACTGGAATATATTGGCCAGAGCAGTATTGGGAGTTTCCTCAAAAAAATATTCAGAACTTGACAGGGGCCTTGATTTAATGCCATGCTTTTAGAAGGAAGCCAGGTATCTCCAGAGGTCCTTTCCCAGCCTAACATTTCCTGTAACTCAAATCATGCCCTCAGCTGCTTGTCGTGCTACAGCATTGTGCTCTCGGTGGAGCTTGCTTCAGTTAGAAGCTTCTCTTGTAAAAGAACTTAATTTGTTTTACTTTCACTTCATTGTTGTGCTTTCTTCTTATTAGTTTCACTCTCATTTCATCATACTGCTTTATGCAACTTTCCTTTGAAAGCTTTCTAAAGAAAGTCTCACTACTTTCCACCTCACCCCCTCCATCTGTCTTCAGCACTTAATTTGGATGACATGTCAGTCTTTCTAGTCAGGCCTCAGGAGCCTGCATGGGTTACTTGGGTGTAGTGTGTGTAGATAGGTTGGTTGTTTGCTTCATTTGCCAAGTTATGTATGTAGCAGTGGTAAATCAGGCCCAGTGTTATTTATACCCCAACAACCCTTTTCAGGTTCTATGCGTTTGTAGACAGTAAAAGGACACTTGTGACTTATAGTGGGGGAAAAAAAAATCAGTACTTATTCCAGCTGCTGCTAGGTTGCACAGATGGCTGAGCTCCTGCTCTGTGCACTGTTGACACAAATATCATAGTACAGCCTGGGTTGGAAGGGACTTTCAAAGCTCATCAGGTCCAATCCCCCTGCAATGAGCAGGGACATCTTCAACTAGATCAGGTTGCCCAGAAACACATCCAGCCTGGCCTTGAGTGTCTCCAGGGATGGCACATCCACCACCTCCCTGGGCAACCTGTGCCAGTGCTTTACCACCCTCATCGTGAAGAACTTTTTCCTCATGTCCAGCCTGAATCTCACCTCTTTTAGTGTAAAACCGTTTGTCCTATCACTCACATATCCCGACTATGGCCGTGCTTTCGCTGGATACAAACCCCCATAAACCCACTGATTTCTGAGGCCTTTGTCCCTTTCAGGTAAGGCCGAGGTTAGCCCCCGGGTTCAGGGGCCGGGAGGAGCACCAGGCCTGCCCCACCGGGCGGCCGTGGCTGTGCAGAGGCGCGGCGCCAGCTCCCGTCCCCGCACGGTAGCAGTCCGGGCGTGCAGCCGGGCGCACTGCTCGGACGCGGCGGCTGGAGCGCACGCCCGGGTAACGCAGTAACCGCCACACACACCGCGGTTACGTGCTGGCCGGCTGAGGCAGCCCAAAGGGCTCTCTGGGCTCGCGGGAGCCGCCGGTGGGTGCGGTTTCGCCTGTGTCAATAGCAGGCGCGGGGACGGCGCGGCGTTGCCTTGGAGACGGCGCCGCTGCGGTTGCTGCCGGCCCGGCGCAGAAGGGGCGGGTGTCACCTCCCTCTTCGGAGACTTGCCCCCGGGCTCGGCAGCGCCGCCCTCGCGGTGCGGTTCCGGTGAAGCCGGGCCCGCTCATCCCAGCTCCGTCCCGGCTCTCCGCCGCGCACCCGTTACGGATGACGGAGGGGCGGGGTTCCTCCCGGCGCCAGCTGCGGAACCGGGCTGCTTACCCGGCGGAGCAGTGCCGGAGGAGGCCTGCGAGGAGGGGCGAGCGGCTGCACTATGGCAGCCGAACGACCGGTGGTGTCTGTGGGCCCTGTGCCAGTGGGCAGAGCGGGGGTCCTGTGATGAATAAACCCAGAGCGGCAGCAGTGGGGTCACTGCTTATGGACTGCCTGCATCCGGTAACGTGGTCATTGCCCTGATGGTAAAATGTTGTATCGTATTTGGTGTTTCTTGTGCCCAGGGTCGGGACTACAATGCTTATGTACACTGCACTATCTTTTGTAAAAGTAGTATTCTAGGACAGACTGACAGTACATCTAGAAACACTAGTAGGAGTCATCAGCAAATGTGAAAGCACTTAAAAATACAACTCAAAGGGAGAATCGTAGAATCATTGAATGGTGTGGGATGGCAGGGATGGCAAAGGTTATCTAGTTTCAACCCCCTCCCATGGGCAGGGGCATCTTCCACCAGACCAGGTTGCTCCAAGCCCCCCCGTCCAACCTGGCCTTGAACACTGCCAGTGATGGGGCAGCGACAGCTTCTCAGGGCAACCTATTCAGTGCCTCACCACCCTCACGCAAAGAATTTCTTCCTTATATCTGACCTAAATATCTCTGTCACATTAAACCCATTCCCCCTTGTCTTGTCATCACATGCCCTTGTAAAAAGTCCATCTCCAGATTTGTTGTAGGCCACCTTTAGGTATTAGAAGACTGTTATAAGGTATGTAAGAGTTGAAGTGCAAAGAGGAAAGGACTAGGCTTTTATCCCTAATCTAACTCTGACACCCTTTAAAATTAAATTATGATGTTAAGGAGGCTACTCCAAGATAGCAAGTTAGTGTAATGTACATGTTGGTTCTGTAGTAGGCAGATTTAAATAAGAAAAAAGGGGGGGATGTGTGTTTAATATCAGGCTACTTGAATGTTTTTGCTTTCTTTTAAGACAATTGATTGCTGTCATTGCTGAAACTATTAAAAATCCTATCAGTTACAAACTTCTGATTGTTTTATTAATTACCCTTTCAACATTCAGATTGAAAAGTTGCAGACTGATGATATCCATGTAACACGTATCCTTGTACTTACTAGGACTTCAGTGTAATCTTGGTATCGCTTTGAACCTGTTGATAATTACGGGAAACTTGAATTTTAAATTCTCTTAAACTGGTAACTTTTGATACTAGTTCTGTTTGAGCATTTATAACGAGGTGTAGATACTGGTTATGGAGATGTATTATCCGTATAACTGCTTTATTTGATTTGCATGTCTTGCACTTTGTAATTTTACAGAGTGGTCTCATTCATGTTAAGCTGACCACCAGCAGTATGAGCATTAGTAATTGGAGCTTCCATTAAATTTCAGTAGTTTCTCAAAAGGAATATGAACATAAAGGGATGCTTATCATTCCTGAAGGTGGGTTTAGCTTAACGCATGCAACTGTGATGAAATTGTCAAAACATCTATAGAAATAATTTACCTTAGTATTAACATATAATTCAATTTGCGTCTCAATATTGAAAGCATAATTCTTCAGTTGATAATCACTGTTGTTCTATTCCATTGCAGATTATCACTGTGTGTAGTCCTGCTTGTTAGTAGTGTTGTTACTTTATTATTATGGAAGTTGTTGCTGGATCACCACAGTAGACTGTGGGAGTTATTGGTAGAATATAGGTAGCAAGATGTGAACTGATCAGTTGACTAAATAATTTTTGGACATGCTCTAATACTATGAGATTGAGGCATCAGTTTTCTTGCTAAAAATCCAGAAGCAGAAGCATCTAATATTTAAACTTGTGGGTCCCTCCATCTGTCAGCATGGAAGTGGGCCATTTCTTTTGAATCTCATGGACGGTTAGTGTAATAGTATTTGTCATACTTCCAAAATCCCCAAACACTGACTTGCCTGTTACTGCCTCTTCTAGTTCTTGCAGTGCACCATGGCATTATGAATGCTGAACTGCTGGAGAAAAAGAGGATCACCAACCTGTGAAGAGTTCATGCTTGGAAGAACTGCTGTGAATGGAAGCTGTTATAGAATTGTTAAACTTCCTGCTCGATAAGACAGAGCATGTTGAATGCTTTTGTTTTTAAGTGCATGATTCAAAGCAATAAACATTTTTTGCAGTTTCCTATATTTAGAAGATAGCTTTTTTTTTTTTTTCATCTGTACAATTCCAGACAAGTAAATTTCTGTGTTAAGAGCTTGATGAAAAGTGAAAGCTTATGGTCATACATAATAGGTCATGCCTTTTTTGGTGAGGCAATCTCAGATAATACT